GAAATGACACAAGCGTTACTGCTTAAAAAATCAATTACACTCACATTTAATTTATTGTAATTGATGTTATTAAAATGATAAACAGGACTATGCAGTTGATGTTTCGATTAATAATTAGTTTTATTCCAACAATTATGATTTCGTGATTAAAGGGAAATTCATTTATTGCATTATTTCAACTCTCATTGAAAAGCTCTGCGAGCAGTTATTGACAGATGAGTAGAATATGCATTGTGTAATTGATGCATACAATTATTTATGTTAACATTTGCAGCAGTTATTTCAATTCTTAATACTGCAAAATAAATAAAGAAACAATTATTGCAATTTGCTGAAAAACATTATTTCCTCCTTCTGTTTACTTATTATTCAAATTACAGCAATTTATAACTAACTCGTATAGTTTTTAAGGTTTCTTTTAATTTATTCACTAATCTTCAATTCTATGCAACAGAAAATTAAAATCCAAGGTCATGCTTTACACGAATAATAAAAATGCACTTAACATTGCATTTCACTGTCGTTAAAGAATACTTTCATTAAGAATTTATTACACGTTTCAATTTCAAATCATATTAAACTAGTATCAATTCCAAATTGATGTGAAATGAAAATGTTAGTTGGGCTCAGAAATTAGGAGCAGATATTAGTTTAAATTTCGATTCACACAGACACATCAGACATTACAACAAACAAGATGTTCAATGATAAGAAGAGAACTTTAACTTTGTCTTCTGTTTCAAAACCCCAACTGGCCACCACAATGATAAAATAGCTTACAGACTACAATTTCAAAAAATTCCCAGTAAATAAGAGTCAGATGATGATAAAAGTGTTTTTGTATAAATTTATCGATAAAATAAAACATTAAAAACGAGTAAAAATCCCCAAAAACATGCAATTTAACATGTGATGGCATCACATAATGATTTGTATCATCGACAGCGAAAATTCATCCGACTGGTATTGAAACTTATCCGCTCTTGTTCGCCTCATTATTTTTAATTGAATATCAACAATAACAATAACAAAAACAGAAGATAATGAACGTATCAATGTCCTTGGTTAAATTTGCAGTCTCGAAATCAGACAATCGCGGAATTGCCGTATCAAATTTGCAAACTGGATGGCACACACGAGGCGACAAGGTCATTCAGTAAGATTATATTTGTAACCTAGAATTTATGTTTAATGAAATAACTCCTCCATGTAACCACACACAGCGAAACTTGTTTACCTGTCTTCGTTTATTTTTCCAGTTTTAACACAATGTGCAAAATTATTCACGTTGACGTAGCTTGTTTGCTAAATTCGATCAGGTGACTTTTCTGTTGATACAACTTGAAATTTTCTATGCTAATACAGAGAGATAAATTCAATTGATGTTCCTGAAGAAAAAAACTAGAAAATTCGCTCAATCACTATTTAAACAAATTATAACAATAAGCAATTAATTAAACGGACCTTTTGCTAATCATGCAAATTTACTACACTAGAAATAAAGTCGTGTTGACAAACAATATTTCCGAGAAATTTATAAAATTTCAACGACGTATAATGTCATATTTTCTGAACTTTGGCATGTTTAAGGTTAACAATTATTTTAATATCCACGTTTCGTAATAATTGATTAAAACGCTGCAAAGTGCATATTGTGAAAAAATCGTTACACCAGATGATAGCAATTATCACGAAACTGTTTCTGGAATACAATTTCATAACAAAATTAATAATCAAATATCAAAATGTTTTCCCGTAACAGTGTCAAAAGTCAAACAATTTCTAAAGTTAGTTGAAATTCTGAAATTCAGCCCCAATTCAATCAATCCATCGATAAACCAGCTTTAAGCCAAGTCCATATTCGGTATCGACACAATTCTCATTGTGGCTAGTATTTATAAATTTCATATTGCATACTTATCTAATATTTGATTTGCTTCAATAAAATATATACATTTAATCAAGAATTAATAAGGTCAACACAAACATAATATAAATGAAAATAATGTAAAAAAAGTGCCCGAACAAATCGTAAAACGATAACGAAATGAGTTCAGATCAATGCACTTTATCAAACTATCCACACAATTCAATGTGCATAAGGTATTTTCGTTACATTTTTCATTTTTCTAATATTTGTGCAATGTTTTACATCCTTACAAGCTCAACACGGCAAAAAAGGTTTCTCTTCATTTGTAAGTCGCGTATTGACCATAAGACGATAAGAGAAATTCTCAGATTCCTTCACGAATGTGTAATATTTCTGAACCTAAACAGGGGATTCACACAAAAAAAATACCCCATCAGCTTTAATTTAACTCAATTCCTACTCTCATTATGTAACCCTCAACTTAGTGTAAAATTAGGTCACCTACCCTTTTGCGTTTTCGCTTTACAACGTGACTACTTTGAAAAACATTATTTAATTACAAACGATTCTTTAATAATTAAATTAACTAATTTTGAATAAATTCGCTATCGTATGACCATGGTGACGAGTTACTGTTTCTTCTTCCATGTCAATGTACCTACATACAATGCATATAAATGAAAATTTGAGAGCAAAAACCCTCGTCAGCGTGCTAAAACATAAACAAACCGCCAAGGGTTATCAACCTCTCTGCAACCGAGTTGATTCGCTAACCTACAATGAAATTAGGCACATCTAAATTATTGAAGATGCTATCGCGTTTCATAACTAGGACAAGCGTCAGTGCGTTATCGTCTGGACAAAGAAGATTAAATGAAATTTCGATTATTTAATACATTACGTGATCGTATTTTGGTTAAGAAGGTTGAGCCAATTGATTGCAAAAGCTAATAACAAATATTTAAAAAAACACGTTAATATAAAAGACAAACAAATACGACTATGTAATTCTGGGGTCTTTGGTATTAAAAGATTAAAAAAGCAAACAACTACGAACGGTTTAAAGTGGGTCAAAAATAGCAGGGAGGTAATAAAGTTATCAGATCAACAATACGAATTTTTCTCCTCTATATTTCTATTCGGATATTTTTTCTGTTAGCGTGAGGTGAATAAGACACCAAAAGGCGCTCCTTCAACACACTTTCTCAAAAAAAGGACAATGAACTCTCGCCTGGCGTGACCACTACTTGGCCTGGGTAGGACATCCGTAATCAAAAACCAACAAGTTTTAAATCACAAACCATCCATGAAAATAAAAAGTTAATCTAATTTAAAAAAAAAAACATAAAAGCAGAATTTGCATTTAGTATTTTCTCAAAGTTCTTCAGAGTGAAACATTTTAGTTGAAAACCATAGTGTTGTTTAAAGAAATTCTAAAAACTTGTTAATTAATAATTTGTTGATTTCTAGCTAAAACACCGAACTAACTACATACTCGTACGAATCGCGATACCTATCGCCCGTAAATAAGATCTAAATAAATATACAGAAAGTAATGTTAAATTGTAAGGCAAATAGTGTAAAAATAGGTTAAAGAAAATTTAAACAAGTGTGTGAACCGAAACATTCTGGTATCTCAGATTAAATTCGACCCAAATTATGCGAAAAATTTAAATAAATTTCATACCTACGCTCCTATAAATTACAATAAACTACGAAATAATATAAACTATTTCATTTGTACGTAAACATTTATTATGTTTTCACTAGACTTCATCGTGGGCATTTTGGAACAGTTTCAAAATTTTGAGATTTTCAGTGCAGCGTAGTACGCTGAAATATTTTCCCCCACATTTATTTTACTATTAGATGAGTTTTCCTTAGTAAAGCCGACATTATCTCGAGTTTGTTGTTTTAAGTAATCACAGAATGCTTAAACAAATATGAAGCTCGACTCAAACTCGACAAACGTGTGGGTACACGACATGGGATATGCCTAATTAAATAAAACCACCGGCCCAAAAGCGTTCATACATCTGCTAGTCAGCGCAAAAATAGGGTCGCACCTTGAAACCTCCCAATATAATTAAAAATCGCTAAACCGTTAATTTTAGATTGTTCTGATATATTATTTGTAGACCAGGTGAGAAGGCTTCAAACTTTTATCACTAAAATCGGCATTAATTTGCGAATTTTTTTACATTAATTGACCTACTTTTATTTCCTTTATTTTTGTTTTTGTGATCGCGATCTTATACTAATTTAAATTCATACAAAGGCCGTGACCACCTGCATGACCAACAGGACTTCCCATCCTAAAACAATAAATCCAGTGACTGCCTCCACCGAATTCATATGCCGCAACTTTTTACCAATCGACCAAAAAGTTGAGTTCTACTTCTGTGAACTTCCTTTCAGACTCTTCTTGTTCAATAAATGACAAAAAATTATTTTCTGTATTAAAAAGTGATTGCATGAATGTAGACAGCCAAACGTTTCTTAATTAGAAAATAAACTATCACGCAATGCCCCAAAAACGATTTTAAAGTGTTAGCGAAGTAATTAAATAAATCATTTCAAAGAAAAACAATCTCTTACAAAAATCATCATTCATCAGTCATTTACAAAAAAAAAAGTTAAGCAAAAACTGTTTTAGTTTCTCCAACTGCTGTCATTCGTGTTAGCGTAATCAGTTTAATGATAGTAATCTTTTCTCGCATCATTTTGCTAATTAGTCGCTATAAAAAAAATTAGCACAATCGAAATTTTTCGATTAGCTTTTTTCTCGCTTCGTTTGCTCCTTTCTTGTGCAATTACAGGAAAGACCAAATTATTTAAAGATTAATAAATTTAAAACGAGGTGATTAACATTAAAGTATCAATTCCAGATGATATGATTGCATTATTATGATCTAAAGCAGCGGTCGTAATTTGTCTTTTCACGGTTGCTGCCGCAAATAAAACATTAATATTAAAGTAAAGAGGCCTTTAATTTATGTTACGATATGACATAACATTGTTATTGTTATTTTCATTGTTAACAAAGCGTTAGTGAGCACCTTTAAAGCGACTCGATGCTAATTCATTCTAAAAATAACTTACATTACGGTTTCTTCCGAACAAAACTTACCTTTTCATTGAATGTACCCAAGGGTGGCAACTGAAACAAATTAAACAACTTAATTAATTACATACTCTCAGATATAAAATTTTGTACATATTCAAGTCGTCGAAAATGAAATAAAGGAATTGTACCGGGGGGTCAACAATTAAGCAGAAATTAACTTCTCCTTGAGTGTGAATTACACTAAGTGGAATCTCTCAACCACTGAAATTACAGAGAATCAGAGACCATCAATAATCAATAACGATGAAGTTTACAGAGACGTGAATAAACATCCTCTCGAACTTTTAATGGTTTTAGTTGCTCCACCTTGTATAAATTTAAGGAGAATTTCACAAGTTTTCTCTCCACCAAACAAATAATAAAATCCATAAACCGACCTTGTTCGATGTGTGGATTTGCATTCTTATCTTTAGAAAAATTGCACAACGTCCAAATTTAAACAACTCTTTATAAACACGACAATTATTCATTTATCAGGAAGGAAATTTCAAGAAAGTTTCGCGTTGTCGCCAAAAAACAACACCTTCTTAAATAAATCAACAATGATAATGCGTCAGTCAAATGATGCTACTGCAAAACATGCCACCCACTTTTCCCGATAAAATTATGCATGGAGGCTAGGAAAATTAAATCAGCATGAATATGATTAGCGATTAATTTAGCTTTAATTTCAATATTTAAAAGTGTTATTACGACACAGAGTGTTGATTGGTATATGTAATAGGTTTAACTAAGCGTAAAATTTAGGTTCAACCGACATTATTTTTTAATTAACAAAATTTAAACGCAAAGAAAGTGAAATAAAAGCAAACAAAAACGAAATTTAAAGATCGGTTTCCTGAATTATTATAATGTAGACAGCTTTGTGGTGTTGTTCTACAAAATATTAATTAACATCATATTATCATAAACTTGTTGAAATACTCGTCTGAAATTGTTTATGCTTAAAAAGTGTAAGGAGCGCCATCGCGTAAATATTAGCAGAATTACTTAATGTATGTACACAAATAAAACTGATAGATTCAGTTGTGTGCACTTTATCAGTTCATAGATGGCGACAGCACCCAAAGTGATTAATCCAGCAAATAAAAAATATAATTATGCATATTAAATAAAACTTTAAGAGTGGAATTATAGATATGGATTAATTCTTAATTAATTTTTAATTCGCTTCCTATAAACCAACATATAAGCCTTTTAAAAGCTCACTCAACACTTCAACGTTTTATACAAATTACAGAAAATGAAAATGAGAAAAATGACAACAAAATAAAATTTAACATTTGATAAAGCAAAAATTTAACAGTTTTCAGTAGTAATCCTCGTAAATTCAAAACAATGGTTTTACATTAAGTAATTCCAAAAAAAACTAAAATAACAATCGTTGAAACTTTTTAAAAGCTCATTTGCTTCTACCAGAGTGTCATGAATTAAATAAATTGAAAATACCATGTATTTTTTACAGATAAAAACCTTGGCTGAAAGCTCTCTCAGATAGATCAGTAAACAAAGTTTTAGAATTTTCCGGAAACCCCAATAAATTAGGTTATTCAAATTAAATAATTCAGACTAATAAAATTATCTACTATTTTAATCAAAGTCGACATTTTCAATTAGCAGTAGAAGATTGAAAATCACTTAAGCTTCCCCACACGCAAAGTTCGACACACTCACGTGCGGTAAACTGATAATGGTGTCTAACAAAAAAGTTTTTTGCTGGCAACATGTGAAACTTTTCCGTTTCTTTTTCCGTTTTTTTTTATGATAATTCAATTATCCCACCACTGACGAAACTAATATTTCCATTATTTGTGCCATTCAAACTTCCAGAAAATGTATTTTCTTGATAAAAAAGCATCACATTTGGAAAATGTTGCTGATCCATTTGCTTAGCGATTGTAAAAATGTCAGCCGATTTTCGCTTGTCTGGAATACGATCAGCGTTTGTGATAGTTTTCCCTTCATCGCGTTCATGAATTTTATCGCTTCTGATAAAAAACAAGTTACTCAACAAAACGGATGGGCAACGAAAGATGCCCAAACCATGAAAAATTACGTCGTTTTTGTGTAAAAATGCTAAAAGCTGCATATTTCTAATGGCCAGTTCTTCTGATAGAAAAGTGATGACGGCTGACAGATTGTGACTGATATTTCCGTTAAACATTAATTAGTTGACAAATTAATCAAACGTCTTTTAAGTTTAAGTGCTTAATAAATGCATTAAGTCACCGACAATTTTAAAACTTTTTTTTGTAATTGAAGACAATTAGTGAACGATTAGACCTCCAACTTGCAATTCATTCTCTCGTTAAAATAATCCTTGAAAAGTTCAAACAGCCTGGCACCGTTAAAGTTATAGATAGATGATAGGTTCAGACCCTCCGGCGTGGAGGAAGTAAATAAAACAGTTTCGCTTTATCGAAATCTTATCATAACAGCTTCTACAAAAAAAAGTTAATTATAGTTCAGGACTACGATGAGAAATTTATAAATTTCGACTATTGGGTCAAAATGGCAGTTTTTTTTGTCTACATCAATAATTAAAAATGATTTAAATAGGTGGTGGGCATCTCTGTTTTAATAAGGTTATTATTTCGTTGTATCGGGTTTTTTTCTAGCGAAGTGGGTTGATTTAATATGCCATTAAGTTTAAATTATGTATTATTATTAACCGTTGAATTTGCCGGAGGCTTCGGTATCCTCAAGTATTTTTCGAACGCACATAATAGAATCAGCAAAAACTCTCATTATACTCTAACATGACACTTTCAAGATTTACATTACACATTTATCAAAACATTAAACATAGAAATTGCTGTCTCAATAAAATTAATCATTCCAAGTCGAGAAATAAAAAATTAGGGTAATACTGTTTATGGCCCACCTGTTGTGTGGTTATTAGTAAAAATGAACATCTTCACATGAAGAACTTAATTGTCCAACTGAAGTAATTGTGTTTGAAAAAAACATACTAGAAGAATTGATCGTTGTTGGTTAGTAAATCCGCACGATTAATGGTTCTCAATCAGTCTTTTAAAATATCGCTCCATGCCATGTCTTCATTCCATTCGGGTTTTAATTGAAATTTTTCAACATTCCAAAATAGATCATTCTAATTTCGATTACAGTATCGTATTTAAACATGAGGGGAGTTTCTCTTTTACGAGGGTTGGTCAGCAAGTCAAACTCGAAGAAATTGAGACACGTTGTAGCTATTAAATTTTATACGTCGAGATAAAGATAATGAGCCTAGAGAGAAATCTTCCGCGGAATTGGCTACCAACAGTGATAAAAGCAAGGGTTTGGGAGATCAAACAATGTAGATTTAATGAAACCGGAGTAGAGGCATCAGTATTTTAATTTCTCCACCACAATACGCAGTATAATTAATATTCCGAAATCTTGGCTTATCGATTTTACTGACAAACAAATAATAAAGCTAAAAATGCCAATTCATTGCACTCTTTTGGAAACCCTGTCTGCAGACGAGTGAAGACCTTAGTAATCTTTTTAATAAAATTAGACTTGCTTTCTATCTAACTGCCGCGTCCGTAAAATCTAGCATTATAGCAAAAATGACCTTTTGCTGGCTACAAAAATAAATAGTAGATAGACTCATTGTTGTCTCGTTTGCTCAATCTCGACATCTGTCTGCATTTCGAACACTCTTCTCGGTATAACCGTGACTATCATCGGCCGTTGCTAATCGCAAATTGGGCATCACGAATGGGAACGAAACAAAAAACCAGTAGCTGACAAAAGACCACAATTTCAAAAAGAACAATAAACAAATTGTTTGTTTTTTCAACCGGTCGTCGAGATTATAATTTGCTGATGATGTTTGTTTAAATATGTGGTCAACGAAACGAGACCAATTCTGATAAAAGGGTTAAATTATGCTTACACAATATATTCGGGGGTGGCGGATTGAATTTGTTGTTAGTCATCGTTGAAGGGTGGAAATGCAAATGAAACAGTTTGGACACACATGCTACTACTTTAATTCATTACGTAAATCAGGCATCTGCGCCCATTAACTCGATAGCCGAGCAAACCGCAAAAAAGACATTTGAACGAGAGCAACCAGAACTTCTAAAACAAGGGCGGAAACAAATTATTTGCACAACTAGTGCCACTTTAGATTTTATTTTTWTTTKCTTAGCCCCAATAGACTATAAATGACAGATTTATTAACTTGTAAAAATTATTTGAAAAATGAACGTGTTAAAAGCGATTCAAAAAATCCATTACGAAAAAAACTGTAAAATATTAAAACGAGCTAAACACTATATTTCATTTTTATTGTCGCACATTACAACATCATCAGCAATGATTTAGTGTTACTTTCGAAATCTCTTCTGACTTATTTTTAAGTGAAAAATGACAAAAACCGAAACACAGAACACAGAAAAATTAATAGCCGTAATAAAATTTTAGAAATTTTGGGTTTTAACGATAGTGGAAGCACGTGAATAGTGTCCAGTTTCCTCATTGCAGTTTTTCAAAGTTTTATCACATATTTTTTTCAGTACAGACTCGAGAAGCTACTTCATATAGAGAAAGCTACTACATGTAAAATTTAAATTCCTCGAGTAAATTTATCATCTCGTAGTTATTTATAACAGTTTAAGGCTTGACATAATATGATAACAATAAATCAGTGTCATCTCTATTTTCAACGATCGAAAAAAATGTACAACTTTTCTGTACTACCAGCATAAAATTTAATAACTTGAAGCAGAAGTTTCAGCAAGCAGCTGGATCTAGGCTTCTAATTATAATTTCTAATTCATCAAGCTATTCATCTATTCATGTTTTAGCTTCCAACAAACAAATTTCTTGATTTAATTTTAAGAGCAAATCGTCACTCAACAGACGTCAGTAGATCTGTTGATAGCAACGAACGAAAAAACAACTCGTATTTTTTAAATTCACCATTACTTCGTAATTGATCTTTTTGATACGAAGCCGTAAAATCGCACGGATTAAGGTCGGGCAAATACAAGCGACCAAAACCACCCAATCTCATTTCTATCAGGCCAGCGGTCAGGACTTCCTCGACTGTGAAATTAATTGTTCAAACATTTCATTCGAATTAGGGTTCCATCGTTATTTACTAATCTGGAATTAAAGTTCGCCGTTTAAAAGTTGATTAAGATTTCCGAGGTGTTTTCGAAATTGAAACAAACGTTTCATTTTGAGACTGGAAGTTCGACGGAAATTGTGTTAAATGCGGCCTGAAATGTTTTTTTAGATGAAAGTGGCCAATTCGGATGTTACATGGACTTTTGGCAGTTTTCCAGTTTTGTGTTTGGTTTTTAATATTGACAGGGTTATTTTTAGGGTAAGACGGATAATGGTGGTTTGCACTATTGATTCCAGGGACCTTTTCGTAAAACATTTACAAGGCAGATTCGTACCTAAAGAGGAAAATAAAGAAAAGAGAGAGTATTACAACATTTGGCTACAGGGTGTGTCCTTGATAAATAATATTTTTTCAACATAAATGACTAACAAGAAAACAAGAATGTATTACAAAATGGTATTTTATGATTATCATTATCACAAACAAAGAAAAACTTGCCGACAACTATGTAATACCCGCTCATATTTTAAATTACTTGACATCAATAAATAGAAATTTTAACAAGTTTCCCCTACATGAGACGATTACCCTCATTTACTATGACATTTTCCAGCGTTCGAGTACCAATTTTCTTTTATTCCGGCCACTGTTTTAACCTTTGTAGAGGCTTATAAAGAGACAAATTTCCTAATGCGACTTTATGCTAAAAGCCACTTTAGCCAAACAATGTTATTTAATGACACGTCGCTCACACAGAGACACCTCGGAACAATTTGGAAAATTACATTATAACATATATGGTATACTAATGGAAAAAAATTCAGAGGCCGATCACCCTTCCCTCCTCCAAGCAAGTAGAATCAATTCTAACCCCTGCATAAATCGACTCTAATTCAATCATCCTCTGGCCAAAATTCAACAAAAATAATTATATTAGTGTAGGTGATAAAATCATCGCTTTACAACCGGTTAAATTTATGTTTATAAATGCGTATGTGAGTGTCAAAGTCAACTTATTAAACGTATTAAGCTAGTTGCGCATGTCTGATAGGTAATGTGTCAATGGTTTATCTAGTTGTTGCCGATGTAAGTTCAAATGTTGCTGCGAAAACATTTGTGTTAAATTTTGCCTGAAGTTTTAAGTTACAGGTATGTGAATAATTAATTTAATAAATAAATTATTGATCGAGAACACTTGCTGATTCCTTTTCAACAATTTGAAAGTACTTAACCTCGATTATTATGTAAAAGTTTTCTTTAAGTTATTAACTATGAAATTATATACGCAACTTGATAAATTTATTCCATGCGGTATCCCCTGATTTAAACATCATTTTTAACCAATTTTCTCACAAAAGGCTGACACAATAATTATCATACATTTTATTCGAATAGATAATTATACGAGTCTTTTAACCAAACCACCAATGTGTGACAGCGATAACTACTAATTGTATTACTTCAATTGTAAGCTATTGTTGATTTGCTAATATATAATTTTAGTGCTTGTCGTAAATCACAAATATTTAAATTTACAATCAACTTTATTCCCCCTATGAAACTTTTCCTTGCAATAAAATTTCTGAAATGAATCACGCAAATCAATCATTGTAAACAAAAAATAAAAAATTATCATAGAACACGACCAAATTTCACCTATGGTTATTTGATCCACATTCTTTCTCATTGTTTTAGTTGTTGGACTTTATCGCTACTATTAAACCGAATCAAAATATTAGTAAAGGTTGAATTTTATCAGAAATCTAATCAATCTAATGTCGTAGCCACTTAACTCGATGGTTTTCCTCCACGCAAAATATTTTTGTTTTTTCGACAGTTTCAAACAAAACGTGAATTAGTGTTTTATTTTTAGTATCTGCTGTTTTACTCGTAATTTCACTACAATAAACGTGGTCTATTTTTAATCAAAAATGCCCTTCACTTGTTAGGCAGTTGATATGTACACATTTAGTGGAACATAAATCTTTAAAGCTCATAAATATTTTAATGCAGTTGGACCATCGTTTCGCGAAATATCTTTAAAAGCTTCGAGTTAAAGCAAACTGCAAAATTACAAAATTCTGTTCTGGTTGTAAATTGAAAAACTTCAAGGGCAATTTATCAGTAATTCAAGGTAGAAATATTTATGGTTACAAAGTGCCATTTCTAAGACCTCTAATGGAAGTGAATTTATTGTAGTCAATTTATTTTAAAAAATGTAACAAGAATTATTATAATTACAGAAATTGATATAATCATTATGAATAATGAATCTAAAAATAAAATAATATTGCACAAAAAAGAAAAACAAAAATAATGAATAATCTCTTTAATTCATGCACATTTGCTCAATTTACTTATTGCCTAATTAGTACTAATCAGCACTTGAAGCTTGCAAAAAAATGATATTATGATCAGCTAATTTTGATCATGCTTAACGACATGATATTCACTCAATTATTTTTGTCACGTTAAATAATATCTAGTAAAAAAGTTTTTCCGTCCTTCAGTCAAAATAAAAAATATCTGATGTAACACTGAAACAAATATCCTTTCAACAATCCTACTTAAGCATTATTATCCATATTTCATTATTCCAGTATTCCATTTTTATTGTTACAAATTTAACCAGATGACAGAATACTCAATTTTAAGATAAAAGTTTCCTATAAACATATATCGAAAAATTTTATATAAGGGAGCCACGTCCCTTGAAAGGGGTGCATCTTTTAAGGAATTTCTTCTAATATTTCAGAAACCATCGTGGATAAAATTACAAAATTTGGTACAACTAATGACCTTTATAAACCGAAATGAATTCAAAAATAAAATGTCAAATTTTTACTCAGGGGCGACCTAAACTGGGGGGTTTAGGGTAAAATGTACCCTAACTATTTTGGCGGTTGGTTTTTGCCACTTTCAGACACAAAATTCTAAATTTCATAGTTTTTCACAAAAAAGAGGTCTCTGTCGTTTTTTTCGATAAAACTTACCGTTTTTGAGTAAAATCAGTTTACAATTTATCTTACAGACTATAAAGAGGATAAAAATTAAAAATTAAATTTGTTTCACCGTTTAAGAGACCTGTGATTAAAAATTTCAACAACTGATCTTTAAATTCGTTCAGGTGTTTAAAAGTAATCAGCTGTACCAACTCTTGTAATTTTATCTATTCTGCAATAGTGGGAAAACCCCATCTCTTGCAGAGGGTGTAGCTCGCTAACGTAACATTTTTTGATACATGTTCATAGGAAACTTTTGTCTTAAAATTGAATATTCTATCACATGTTTAAGTTTGTAACAATAAAAACGGAACATCCTGTATAATATTCGAATGTGATGTTATTGAAGAAAATAAAATCGCCAATAGATAGATATAAAATAATCATGATAGATGATTAGTGAAGAAACACCACGTTTCAAATATAAATCACTGTTAGTCATTGGTGATAAAACTAATAAAAGGCTTAACATTCCTGCTTTGTGAGTTAGACAAAACAAGACAAAAGTGTAAAAATACATCTTTTTCTCTTTTAGACATTAGTTACTGAACAAAATTCCTTGTGAAAGTGAAAGAAATCGCGCCAAACAGTCATTCGAGAGAACAAGGTCGTCAAAAATCAAATAAAAAAGTCCCAAACAAACCGAAGAGAACAATAGACCGTAGCTTACAATGGGCAGTAATTCGTGATTACAATACAAACTTTCCGACTCGATAAAAGTGTCCACATAAAAAAAATCGCAGCAAGCTGCCGTGTTAAAGAACAATAAAAGCAAGTTTTTAATGAGAAAATAAAACCATGGCGGAAATTTATCGTTGCGAAGAAGCGGGTATGTGCTATAAATCAATTTTTCCGAAACTGGGCAATAATCGAACTTTTTTATCAGCTATGGAAAAACTGCAAGCCGTTCCGGAACCGGAGTGGATTTTGGACAGGACCGGCACCGGGCCTCTGTATTGGCGGAGAGAGTCCCCGGAATGCAACTCCAGGTAGGTCGCTATCGATTCCGGGCTTTGGGCGGTCGATTTGCTCTTTTACAGGTTGGGGTAAATTTAAATAGGTGCCTATTAACTGACGAGTATCTCAGAGCTAAATGATACACTTCATTGTAACAAGAGGAAATAAGAAATTACACAACTCCGTCTCCACCTCGCTGTTTATTCAAGCTTTCCCACATTCGCCCAAAAAACTCACATTAGCATCATGATCCAACCCAAAATATTTTTGTTAAACTTTTCAAAAATTTCAAAGGATAAAAAATTCGGGGGTTGGAACTTCAATATCACCTTGAAACGTTTCAAGCATTTTCGTGACCCTTCATTCCTTTTATAAGGCTAAAATTCTTTTTCGTAACAAATTTGATATTTTTAAAGGTGGTATCCTGAAGCTCAGGATATACAGATTATGTAAGTGTTGTTTTTATGTTTACAAAAACTTCCACAAGTTGATTTATACGATGCCATAACGATTAGCTGAATTTAAATTACTTTCTTCCAAATGAATCATTTTTTTCGGTTAAAAGTTTCGGAATGAAAAAACATTACAAATATTGACATTTCCATAAAACACAAAGATAAAAACAAACGTTCAAATACATTTCAAAATGAGGAAGTCGCAATTTATGGCGGCTACATACATATTGATCAGACTTATTGGAAGCTTCAACGAAAAAATACTTTTCTCGTATAAAACCTTTATAATATAAGAAAAAGACAATAATAATAAATATTTTCCAAATTGCCAAAGAATATGAGCCGTGAAAAGCAAACTTAACTGACAGGATTTTAAGACGATGAAAGCACACAGTAAGCTCAATCTTTTTCCATATTACTATTTTGAATTTTACAAAAAAATGGCTGGAACTAAAATAAAGTAAAATAATGATGATTAACCAGCAACATACAAACAATGAATTACTCGGAGATTCGATCAGAAATTGATCAATAATAGTAAAAAATATGTGTTGATGAATATCGTAGGCGAATAAATAAATAATTTAAACAAGTAAATTTCATGACATAAGGAAAAATAAGGAAATACCCACATAAAAATGTGTGACGCAAGTGATAGAAAAAAATGTTACAATGATAGCCACTTTAGTGTAAATAATAAATTATAGCATTAGAACAAAGAAATCGTAATCATCTTTGAAGCCGTCAGCTTGAGTGCAAAATCAGATTAAAGTTCAACAATTAAATTTCTCGTACTTTGTCCAGGTGTTGATCAGTGTCCTTTCCAGAGATTAAGTTTGTTTTTTTTTTTCAGAGTAAAATTCCGGTTCGACGTCGAAGTCAAGGAGTTCCAGCGTAGTGCTCACGAATTCGAAGACTTGGAATGGTCGCGATGCATTGAAGATTCCAACACTTTAACCATGGGTCTCGCGTGCATTATTTGCATCACTGTAACAGTGATGCTACCATGGTACATCATGGTCGGAACCTATTGAAAATCTTTAGTCTGACATCTGTGATTGACCGACAGGACTTTGAACTGTTGACTTGTTAAAGGTCAAGGAGTGATTGTGATATTAAATATTTATTGAGGGTACCTATGTTGTGAGAAAAAGTGATATTTAATTTAGCCTTTGTTAAACTGCTTCCGATGTAAATAAAATTAAGTCCATTTTGTTTGTACGTGGGCCGATTTGAAAATGTTTGGTTGGGACAAATGTTGGCTTTGGGATATATATACAGTTTCTTTGAAGCGATTTGTTTTATGACGAGAGAAATGAAACAAAACGACCAAATAACACTAGATGCACACATGAATCTATAAACTGAAATGTCCAACTATAGTACCAAAAGCGCAAAGTAAAGCATTTGGAAGTAGACCAAATGTGGAAATTTTTTTAAGGATCTTCTAATTGTATTTGGTCAAAAACTACCATCTCTCACTCTATCCTGAAAAATTCTCAAATAAACTATCTAAGACTCCTCAAAGTCTGCAAATTATGTGGTAATTTGATAACTCGAGTACTCAACATAAAGTAATTCGAAAACACAATTTTAATAGCCAAATTTTTATTTTATCCTGACAAATTAATTTTTAGTGTTCTTTTATAAATAAGGATAAGATTATTTTTAAACAAAACAAATATCAATGGGTGGTGTAATTAAAAATAAAGTTATTTGACTTTATTGTAACCTGAATGCCACTCCGTACAAATAAAATAATATTTACTACAGTGTAAAAAATTAATAAAATATAATAATAAAAAAACTGTTATGCGGTTTTCTAGTCATTAAATCCTTTTTTTGTAACGTATACAGGCCTACTCAAAGCTCAATTAGCAACTAACAATCATTATAATTAAATTTGTCAAATAAGAAAGTTTTTATTTTTCAAACTTACTGTATTGTTGTATTTTTATGATTTACATATTTTTTCCATTTTTCATAATTATGATGTAAAATTAAAGTTCTAGAAAAACCTGTAAAGAATTGCAATTAACTGAATATGTTGATAATTATTTATTCTGTTATGTACATACATAAATTGTATAAAATTGTAATGAGCGAATTGTGAATTTCTTTAAGAAAAATTGTTAAGAGTTAAGAGATAATTTTGTTTACAATAAAATTACCTTTTTTAATAGAAAGTAATAGAAAATTTATATTTTTTATTATTTGGAAGTATATACAGGGTGAATATAAAGTATGGAACCAAGCGGTTTTATTTTTAATCATTTGCCTCCAAAAAATAATAATTAATATAAATTAAAGCAATATAAAAAATGTGATCGTATTTACAGAACGAAATTTTGTTTTGTTTTTGAGTTATGCGATTTTTTTTGTCAAAATTGCAATTTATGTGAAAATTTTTTTTTGAAAAAATTAAATATAAAGCAGATAGTTGTAATCCTTAGAGTATAGCTTTTATGAGGAAAATGATTTTATAGTGGGTTGCCATTTAAAAAAATAATATTTTTTGTAGTACTCAAAAACAAAAGGAAATTTCGAAAAATTTTACTCTTGTTAAATCATCGCATTTTTATAGTACTTTATCACTCATCAATTAGTTTTTTCAAAAAATAAATAGTTTAAGGAAAAAACGTTTGGTTCCATACTTTTTATTCACCTAGTAGGTATGTACAGTGAGCTGTAAAATTATGGAATAATCTTATTAAAACTGAAAATATTTTTTTGGCAAAAATGCTGGAGCACAATTTTCTTTTTAAAAAATGCACAATTTTCAACGTGATGCAAAATTTTACACATTTTGGTTTTTGAATGATGAAGTCCCTTAATTTTTTAGCCAATTCAATAGATCTTTTAATTGTCGAAATGACAACACCAAAATTGTGTTTACAAGAGGAAAATTTTTCATTTTACGCCAAAACTGCAAAGGAGAAACATTGTTTCGCATTACAATAAGCTTTCCAAAAAGTTAAATAATTTCAACAAAAAACAAACATACAATTTTAAATCAAGCTGAGAATTTTGTATTTTTTAAAAAGAAAATTGACCTGTACGAGTATTTTTGTCAAGACAAGATATTTTCAGTTTTAATAAATAACATTATTTATTCCATAATTTTGCCGCTCACTGTATAATATGTACATTCATTTTTGTTTTAGACCAGAGTAGGCTGTGGAAATTCTGATGAGTTGTATGTTAAAATTGTGGCAGAATAACAATAAAATAACCTACTCTGGTCTAAAACAAAAATTAATGTTTTATAATAGTATATTAGATCACAAGGTAAAGAAGAGATTTTTTTATAGCCGATCTGTTTATTTCCCGAGATGCGTGTAGCATCGATAGGAATTTATAACTTCATAATATGAAATATTTGTTAAAATAACTAAGAAACTGCAAAGAAAAGGGAAAAAGTGTTGAAATTTGCCTCACTACCAATAGTATTTTGACAAAAAATAAACCCATTTGTAGTTTTGACAGTTTTGACATAGATAGAAGGATTAGAGTTGGGGTTATTCTGATGTTTTTAATGAAGAAATTTAAGTCTTAAGAGAAAAACAACTTCACAACCCCTCGAAAAAGTAAGTAATGGTGTCTTTTACGGCTAGTAGTGCAAAAAGGTGTTTATGCGCGATTGAGCTCTAATTGATTGTTTACCAGGTCTGTTTCCAAGACAGTAAGTTGTATTTACTTGTTGCTAACTCAAACTGGGCGGTAAGTAAGTAAAGTCGTCGCCAAAGTATTTTGGGGTTCTATAACGGTAAGTAAATTTGTTAGATATTTTATTAAAAATACAAAAATCAATCGGGCAAAAAAAATGTCATAAGCATCACGAAGGTTAAGGGCTTACCGATCTCCAAACAAATGTCCAATCGGTAAAATGTCCTTACCGTTCTTCTCTTGATGCTTAATATACTATTTCAGGGTTATTTTCTTGTATAATTTATTTATTTAGTTATTCCATGAATCTGAATCTATGAGATAAGAGCATTAGCATTAGGAATTAACTCAAAATCACACCAAACGGTCGGTCATAAACGCCAATAGAGAAGATGGATGGGCATAAATTAGCGTGCAGAGTGTTCCTATTATTATACCATTGTCTCAACTCGTAGCAACAGTTATCTTAATTTGATCAAGATTTTTTGAACAATAGGGACTATGGGCTTTACGAATTTTTTTCGCATAATAACGGAATATCTACCGCCAACATATAACGTGAGCACCTCATAATCAATCGGCGATGATTAGAGCGAATTTTTTGCACACACACCTAACTACAGGATTAAAGAGGTTAATGCCTGTTTTCCACTCCAGATGTTAGATGAAATTCAAACAATTTACATTTATATAATATAAATGTAAGCAAATTATCTCAACACCAGCTGTATTTATTTTTCCCGATGAGTCTAAAACGTCTTCGCCACTAAAAATAAATTTCCTGTTTAATTCGGATATGCGTCCGAAAAGTCAAATGCGGGAAAATAATGAAGAGGAAAGGTCGTTACTCATCTGACCTATTTCTCCTTCGGGAATCTTCCACAACAGTAACAATGTTGGCGTAATTATAGGTTTCGCGATGTGTAGATTTCCGCGAAATTTGAATATTTATCAGCACGTGTGTAGTACCGTCGCCGAGAGCCCTTATGGAATTGATTCGTTTTTTGCGTGACTCAAATAACAAAATTTAATTGGTAACTTCTTACGTCATAATTTATGAGATGAATTTTTCATCGGGCGGATCTGTAAGCAACAAGTCTCGCGGTGGCGTTCCCAGAATCGCCAACTTACAATAAATTTCCACGCGTTAAAAATAAATAACTCTCTTATCCTTATTACGTTCATTTATATTCATTTTGATCGAGCCGAGGGTGGATTCCTGCACCACGGTTACAAATTGGACCGAATTAAAGATATGGTCAATTATGTCAATTGTGTATTCTGCCACTTGTTATTGGCCCATTTTTGATATAATTATCCCTAATTCAACGATCTCTGGTCGGCCTGAATTATTCACATTATGATTAAATAATAATTTATCATTATTTGCGTGCTTTTTTCCAAAGAATTTTATAATAAGCGTCAAGGTGACTCGTGGGGTGGTAAATACTTAATAAAATTATTTCGTTCCGATACTTGGAACAGGTGCTTATTTTCGAACGAATAAATCAATTTCTGAAGTTGATAATCATCTCGCTGTAGGTGCGAGGTACATCAAAATGTAAAAAATTACTGGTGCGCGAATTTAATTATAAATTCGGTGAGCAGTAGATAACAAAATTATATAATACAGAAGCAAAACTGAAACGCAAGGTACACATTGTCATATAAATTATCTTCAATACTGTTATCCACATGCTAATTTCCTACTGTCATTGCACAAAATGAATGGTAAATTTGTCATTTCCTGCTAAAATATTTAATTTACGCACATATTTACAGTTAAGTCACGTAAATTATCATAATAATGCCGAATTAGATTGTGGTCACTCCTGTGTTTTGTCACTCTCCCAGTCCGTAATTTTCCGAAAACTATCGTGAAGGTAACTAACCACTTTCCAACGGGTGGGGGAGCTTTATTCAGTTTGTTGCTTAGTAATCCGTGCTGCCGGAGCCAGCTAGACTGTGTGTCGCTAGGCAGTAGGCTGAGGTGTTCATGTCAAAGTCATGGCCAACTATCTATTGTTGATCATGACGTGACGTGCGTATTGCCAAGGCCAGGGATTGGCAAAAATTAGATACAGCTGTTGATCTGCTTGATGATGTTTTCGACGAAAATTTCATCTATTTTCTAGTGCCAGATGATTGCGTAATAATAACAGCGCTCCCATTTAGGTCCGGAGACATGGGTTTTTTGAGTCTCCGGGTTTGATTTATGATAATCTGAATTAAAAAAAAATGTCTTCATTATTGAAGTTGTGTCGGTAATGATGGTATAATTATGTCGGTATCTAGTACGTGCTGTTTGAAAAATTTATAATTGCAGCCAGCGTCGGTTTGAAATGGATAAAATATCTATTAATGGTACGATTGCAGTACGAATAAAGACTTGTGTAAAATGCGCTGCTTTAAACTTAATTGGATAATGAAAGGTTATCGTACCTGTACCGTATTCGATGCATGTCGTGCATTGTGGTACAATTATTTTTCGCTCAAAGAAGCTACAAAATACTTCATTACGCTTAACTTGCTTCGCCATCCTGTCTAGATTAAACGCTTTTATCTTTTGATTCAGATAATGACGTGCCAAACACAATTAATTTTTCCTCCCTTGTACCGTTA